TCCCACCATAATTAGATTCTGTGAAATGTGTTAAAAGAAAAAAAAAAAAGGAAAAAGATTCAGCCCATTAATGCTGTTTAAAAAAATTATTTTTCGTGAGCACAATGAAGGAATTTCCAAGTAGTTCATGCAGAAACTCCCATACTAGTTTACTGTTGATTTTGCCAAATTTATTAACAGCTCCTCCTGTTTTAATGAAAACTCGGTTTTGCCTAATATTCTGCACAGCTGGCTGCAGAGACTGTTCTCCAACAGCTGCTTTTTTTCCTCCTAACAATCATAATTTTTACTAGTTCTAAAGTCCCCAAAATATTACTTTATTGTATTTATACCTACTGCTTTGACCGTTTTGAGTCTAGGTAAAAAGTTCTTATTGCAAGTTGAAGATTGAGAACCTCTGACTTTTTATACAGGAAAGCTAAGAATCCCATAACTCTAGGAGCTAGTGTTTAAGAGACATATCAAGTTTCGGAACGATTCTGGGTGCTTCTTCGTGACTACCAACAAGTATGCTTCGGCAAGTATGCTTCACTCAGAAAACTCTTTGAGAATTTCCTGTCAAGGCTTTTGATTTTTTTTCCATTTTGGCAAAGAAGGGTTTGAAAGAGAAATTATTTAGGAGCAGATTGCAGATGGATCGAGCACCCTCACAAAATTTCTGGGAAAAGCCTAATTTCAGCTCTCATGTAGTTGTGGTTCAGCTACCTGGAATTCAGAGCCAGGTAGGAAGCATGTAGAAGGGTCAGCCTCCAAGAGATAGCCTAGTAGGATGGGAGGGCTGAATTGGATCATTTGCTGTATCCCACAACAGACTATTGTCACATAAAGAAAGGAGGATGAGCAGAGGGGGTATTGCTGGTTGTTCCTGAAAGTGCTCAATGCAGTTAACACATCCCTTCCAGCTCAGCATCCACGGCACGCTACCGCTACTCTTTTGTTCTCAAAAAATCTCTCTGCATCAGCCCCAAAGCATGCAAGGACTAAGGAGAAGGAGGTTCGCAACCCAGCCCCCACACCTACCTGGGATGACCCGCTCCGAAATGTACTTTTCCAACTGAGTTCGTACTTTTGCCTCTATTGTTGGGTGCCCGTGGGTGCCGTTATCAACCAGTAAGAGATGGGTATGATTATTATCCAGGCAATAGAGGGGGTCTCTCTTGAGATCATCCATTATGTAGTGGGCCAAGTAGTACCCCTGGAAGCACAAGCACAGCCTGTATCAGAGATCCAGGGGCAGAGCACGCACAAGCCTTCAGGGACAAGGCAGTGACAGGTGAACTCCCAGTCACCAACTATTCCTGAATTTCCTGACTCAAGACACTGCTCCTTGGCAGTCCCAGCAGCAGCAGAAGGCAGTGAGAGAAATCCCATACAAGAGCATAGAGTAAATGTTTGCATAGAATTTTTGGTTTTTTACAAGAGCAGCCCGAATTGAGATGATCCTCTCATAAATTCACCTCAACAATGGAACAGTGGGAGTTATTTCTAAGAGTTTAGTCCTTCCAAATGTCCCGTTAAGGAGCACATGCTTCCTTCAGCCATTAAATCTGTGGCAAAGTTACTTTCCACACCTCAGAGAGTCACAGAATTTTTTTAGGTTGGACCTAAGAGATCATCTAGTTCGACCCTGAAACCTCCTCAGAGTCTTCAGTAAACTAAACTGATTTTATTTACCTAACAGGATGTTTTTAGACATTTTCTATAATATTAAGTAGACAAAAGACACGGGTATCTGACAGACAGGACAACAGTATCGATGAGCAAGTTCTGTAAGAGCAGACCAGGTACGACACGTCTTAGCTCATCGGAATCCCTGTAGGGATTTCACAGCAGCTGGAATAACCACAGAAGAAACTATTCCCTAATGCTCTGCCAGATCTGAAATTAGAGCAGCTGAACTTTCACAGAGACATGCTAAGACCACAACTGAAATCCTCCCCAGCAGGTCTGATGTGCACAACCATTTCAAACAGGAGAACACTTGGTTTTCCTCCTATTCTGGGAAGAGCACCTGATGGCTCATCTCACTGCTAGGCACACTGAAGAGAAGCTGGCCCCAGGCTGAACTGTTTAGGATGCAGCAGGTCAGGCTAAGCAGACAGATGTGCTTCTACACAAACACTGCACTGAGAGCACTCTGCTGATGTCTGCTTTGCCAAACATACAACAAGGGCTTGACTTACCACTCAGGTCAGTCACACATGGCTGATGGCATCAGCCTAGCACAAGATACTGTTACTGCTGAGAGCAGCGGTCAGTCAGGGACATAATCTGTGTAACTGACAGCCGAGCCTCCTCTTTGCTCCCCTGCCAACGCACACACGTTCCTTACGTCATTATCACCGCTGCGAATCAGACTTTCTCGGTTGGAAATCATGCCCCAGGCTGCTATGCCAATAGCCACCACGTTCTCCTCTGAGCTCCGACTGATGGTGTTGTCTCTCACCACTTCCCCGATGTACTTCATCAATCCGTAATGCGTGCCTCCTGTGAAAATCCAGGCCCCTGGGGACAACATCCAATAACCTGGGGGAACGTAGTGAAATACCCAACCTCCTAATGCATTACCTTTAAGATACAACCACCCAATTCCCTCCCAAGACCTTACCTCAGAAAAGGCATTTACTCTTCAATGAAATGCAAGAGATATGCTACACAACTTATGTTATCATGGGCATGAGATGACTAGCTCTCAACTCTCTTACTTCAAACTGTTAGGTGACATTTGCCCCAAGTGCACCAGTCAAGCAGAAACAAAGCAAATCCTCTGCTTCTCCACTGACCCTTTGAGCTGGTACCTCTCCAACACTATCATGCAGCAATAAAATAATGCAGACACATATGGGAGTCTTTACCTTTGGACTGGGCAATGTAGATCAGCCTGCTGAATATTTTGCGCATCCGGGGCTTGAGCGCAAAGTTCTTTGCGCCCCCAGTGACAGAGATGACCAGGTTAGGGGTTTTCAGGTGCCAGTGCTGAGTCATGAGATCATAGAGTGTTTCGGAGTCTGTATCGCATGACAAACGGATGTACTTGGGTGAGAGAAAATAAGAGAACAAATACAGCAAGCGATAAATAGTGATGGCTGGGAACGGACACAGAACGGGCATTTTGCATTTTCTTCTCTAATGTACAGTCTTACTCCAACAGCCAGTGGACAAGAAGTGTTTCTTCTGAAGCATCTTTATCTTCCCCCTACAACCAGGCAGTCAACCCACCCTCCACAAGAGGAAGGAAAGAGCACTGATCTTGGGATGCAGAGGAGCATTGGAAGGATGAACACCAAGGAAGTTCACAGCAAAACAATGCTACTTATGGCGCAGACTATGGATTAGTAGAACAAAAAAAAACCCCAAAATAATTATAGTAGTATTTGGATTACACTACCAAAGCCTTAACCTCATGAACTATAAATTCCAGGCTCCACGCGCATGGTGTCCCTATCATAACATACACCCATAACAGCATTTAAAAACTTTATCAAATATGTAGTAAAGGTTGAACACTGTATGAGGATGCCAAAAAGCACTAGACAGATAATCTGGCTGCAGATAAACCTACTATGTCCCTCATTTATGTAAAAGATTTTCTATTTTTTTCTTACTATGCTATTTGAGAGCCTCTTTACAATTCTACCGCTGTTAGTATTTTAGTGGGATGGGCTTTTGGAAGACAGTTGTGGCTACACATCCCATACCAGGGGATGGAAAGGAGCAACTTGGACCTGAATCAAAAGGGATTGCCCAGTATTTCCAGAAGAGCGAAACCAAGCAATGAGTTTGAGCAAGAAGTGTCCATATCTTGAGAAGCATTTAACTTGAACAAAAGAACATATTTATCTGTCTCAAGAATAGCTATTACATATGACCAAGAAGAGTACATCACTGAGGAAGTCTAGCAGGCTCCAGCAGCTACACAGGAGAGCTAAGGAACTTCCACACCTTCTGCTCTAAGAAGCCCCAGCCACATCTGACACAGCTGTATCCATGTGACTACCTTTGTGCCATCAACAGCTGAGACTTCCAGCTGAATGTCTTGTTTTCATCTACGTAAAGCAAGCACCAAATAAAAGATGCTGGAGCTGAATTGCCCATACAGCTCATCTCGTTCTCTTATACACCGTCATATAACTGCAAACTCGCTTCAGTGACACCTACGTTTCATTCAGTGCACCAGCAACCACACACCTGGCACTTGCCATCTCCTCTGCACGGCTCTGCTCAAGCGGGTGAACCCCCCCTCCCCGGGTCAGGCACTTTCGCTCTCCGAGGTACAAGGGTGCCATCTCCTGGCACGGCCGGCTGGTGCACCCCAACTATCACCGACTCACCCCCCAAACACAGGCGAGACTCAGTATTTCGGCACCTGAACTCAGAAAGGTATTCAAAGACGCATTTTTCAGATTGGAGGCTCCCAGAACACAAACTACAGGACCTGCAGTCTTCTTGGATGTTACAGGATCTGAGCAACACTACGAAAAACAAGAGCATGCAAAGCAGGACTTAAAGGGTGGAGATTTTATCAGTCTGTTCACATCTAGTGCTCAAAACATTTTAGGACTCATCTGTCCTAAAAGGCACTATGCAGGGTATAAAACTTCCCTTCCCTCACTGATAATGGTCGGCAATTCTTAGGTTAACTTGGGTTTGAAGTCCTCCCCACCATCTCCACACGAGATGAAGAGAAACTATTTCACAATGTTTCAGACCTGCTGCTTTGCAGTATAGAGGATGTAAGAACATGGGCTAGAGATCTGACTCCAAGACAAAGCGTTGGGATGGATTCTAAGACTGATACGCAGTATTTGAACACAGCTCTGAAACACGTGTAGTGGCCTCCAGAGTCCTCACGAAGCAACCATGGACACACAAACTGATTTCCAAGCTGGTAAGGGGGACACAACCTCAGGAAAGAATATTTTAGCTTTGAAAACTCAAATGTTGCAATAGACTAAATGATTTCACCTTTCAGTAAAGGCACACAGCATCTTGCCATACAGTATTATGAAACTAAAATACACATATCAAGAAATATGCGAAACACTCGGATCCATTTAAGCATTATTCAAAACAGTCTTCTTTCCCATCAAAATGTCTCTTGTTTCTGCTACTTTGCATAAAACAAACCCAAATAATTTACACTGCGTGCTCTGATTTTCCTCATTTATTTCGATTGTCTCAAGCAAGCTGCACTGCTGGTAAATATCCGTCATTTAGAAGAGGCAGATTAGCTCAGCCACATGTGACTCCTCACACAGTACCAGTGTAAATCACAAGAAACAGCAACCCCAGCGATTTATTTCTTTCTACTCCTCCACTGTCCCCACACCAAGGAAATACACAGGAAAAGAACCTCTGAAGTTCCACTGCCATCCTACATGCCTGTTAAATTTACCATCGTTGTAGGATCTCTACCCTGGGAAATACTCAGTGTTCCATGGGCTATGGGCCTGAGCAAGCTGGTCTCTGTGGATATGCTTTGAGCAAGAGTTTTAGCTAGAAAACTCTGGGAAGTCCTTCAAGCAAAATTACTCTGTGAGGGTGTGGGACACATGAGCCTCATTCCAGCGTCCCACAACATCCTCCGGAGAGTCCAGTCCAAGGCCTAAGACTTGACTGCATGGAAAGAGCGCTGTCCCTCCACAGACTGTGATGACCCGCACACAGAACCACTAAGGAGGAAAGGAATCTGGGTCAAGAAGCTCTGTAGGCAGGTGTTGGAAGACATGCTGTGCAATGTTAAAGCCATTACAAAGTATGAGTGATGATTCTACAGAGTAACAAGCAGGTATGTGCAGCTTCTACACTGAAGATCCTCTGAAGAAAGGTCTTACATCCCTACAGATATGAAATCCCTATGGCTGTTGTCTAGTGGATCTGGCTTCGTCTTCAAAGGCAAAGCACGTTACACATGTCTTGGTGTTGAAGTCGGACAGTTGGGAATCTTTCTCAGGAGGTTGATCACTCAGGCACTTGGGGTCACTGTGCTGGGTTCACTACTAAAGATGGGTAAAAGGGTACCAAGTTGCTCCTCAACACCAAGACACTTCTCTCTAAAGAGGGACTGCAAAACAGCCTCTGTAACTGCACACTGATATAGTCAGGGTACAGAGTCTTAATGACGGACATCAGAGATTAAATCAAAATTATTTCCTTCAAGATCAAGACCTTCAGAATTGTGTTACAGGCCAATTACAATAAACTAGCTATATGAAAAAAGATAAATTATAATTGAGCACCATCCTCACCCACCCACTCTTCTGCCATGTGCTGGAATCAGATAACCTCTTTTCACTCCATCACCAACCTATGAAACGAATAACACAAGAAATTACTCTTTGTTGCCTATTTTCAGGGCTTGAGAAATCAGCTTGTCTTCTTTGTAGCCTAACTCCTTCTATTCCCACTGGAAGAAAATCAAGCTTAGCTTCACCTTCCCTGCTTTTCAGGGGCTTCTACTGACACTGGGTTCAGGACTGAATAAAGTGCACACGCAGCAAGGGCCTGACATATACCCTTAATGAAATTACTTACTTTTCCTCTTTTCCCCATGTTTTCAAAGTGAATGTCCCCAAAGGCATCAGTAGGAAGTTCCTTAGTGTGTTTCTTGTAGTTCCATTTTTCATTCGTATTAACCTGAGTGCCCTCTATATGTTGATTTTCAGGGTATCCACATTTACATAAGTTACCCCTGAAAGATGACAGAATAGACATAAAACCCCACAGTTATCATCCTGAGCACAGAAGAGTAAGCTCGAATATGTTCAACAAGAGAAAAAATTTTCACAGCTGACACCACCTTCAAAACTTTTGCTCAGTCAAGAAGTGTTACTCTGCCACAAATCCCGATCTTGTAGAAGACAGGGTGCCTACAGCAGCAGCCACATCAAGTGCAAAAGCTGGGAGCGGGGTTGTACCGACACAAGCCAACAAACCAAGCAGCAGGTGGAGCCAGGGAACCAGCAGTGCATGGGACTCTACTTGGATTTGCTATGTGACAAACCGACAGCTAAGAGGAACCGACTTTAATTATCACAAACCAAGTTAGGTCACCAGGAGCATAACTGGAAACTCGACAACTGCTTCCTTCCCCAATAATCTGCTTCTGCCTTGGACTGGGCAAAGAGCGGAGTATTCCTCAGGGACCAGTCTGTGCTGAGACATGAGCTGACACTTCCGGATGGCCCGTACCTGTGTGACCTCTTTCGTTATCACAAACCAAGTTAGGTCTCAACCAGACATGAAGAGTTCGCTAAGGGAAATCATTTTCCAGGCAAACCTAGGGCCTGACTGGTGTCCAAACACACCCAAGACATATTCACATCCAAAGGGAATGGGGATGTGAACAGGTTTTGCAGGTGGTTTGCTGTGTTCCCAGCACATTTCCCCCACCACCACTGTTCACCGCACAGCACGGTGTGCGGTCACTGCCAACGCCCTCCCTCACCAACGCTGACATTGCATCAAGGGGAGGAAGAATCTGCACTTTGGTTGTGCAGGACTAGCTGGAAAAGCCAGAAGTCTTTTCTAGGAGAAGGTGGAGCACAACCCATGCCATTTTCTGCATAGCCTGTATCCTTCCTTCCTCAGAGGGCACAGAGATGGGGCTTGTGAAAGAGAGGGTTGACTGACAAGTGCAGTCAGCCAAGCACAGTAAGCAATGTCAACAGCAACAGAACGGACCAAATGTGGCTCCTAAACTCTAAGCAACATCAGGCAAACACTGGCCCAGTGTTAATTTTACTTACAGCAGAAAAAAAAACGTAGATGGGGAGACAAAGCAAGAAGAACAATGCTATTAACAGCACTTTGCAATATGGCAATTTAAAAATAATGCACCAGCCCAAAAGGAGCAAGATGAGAACATTAATTTGTGTGCTTACAGTGACCTTGATAGTTAGCTTGCAAAGTGCAAGCATGACATTGGGTAACGCCCCACTGTGAACACAGACTGCTGTAAAGGTAAGTCACAGCACGCCTCAGAAGAAGAGAAAACTTGCGTGGTTTCTTCTGCTCCACTGTAACTTGAAAATAAAACCAGCTTACCTTAAAAATAGATTTTAAAAGACCAACAAATATCAAGTGGACCTGTAGGAAAAGATGCTGATAAGAAATAGCCTTTGTTGGTCCTCTGCCAGACAGCCCATTTTAGTTGGCAGAATAGGACTCCAAGTAACACCTTCTGAAGTGAGACTCACATCCCTCCCTCTCTCTCTCCAATACGTTTTTTCCTCCCAGCTTCAAAGGAGAATGGTGGCACTGAGAGCCCTATATTAGAACTTCTGCCGCTGCATGTTTGATCACTTGTCTCCTGAGATTACAAACAAAATCCCCAAAACCCAATAGCAATGTTATGGTCCTCAGAGTTGTACTGCATACGTCCTTGTGCCTGAAAATGGAGCAAGTATAATATCGTGTTATAAAAGTACATCAGCCTGAGCAAAACCCAGCAACTGGCTGCCTCTGCTGTAAAGGCTTGTGCATGGAATTTGTCACTTGGGTTTAAAAGGAAAACTTAAATTAAGCAAACTTCTGATATGTGCATATGCTGTTATACATCAGAACTAGTGCTGGTACTGCATCCTATAAAGCACCTCTATATATATTGCCACAATTGTGCTTCAAATAGGGAACTTGAGACCAAAGCCAGACAGAGCTGCTGGAAGGCGTGCTGAAAGTCAGAACGAAGGTCAGGCCACTGTTTTTGCATCAAGTTACTTGTGGAGTAACTCAAACTGATACATTTCCAGTTTTTACATGAACTCCAGACAGTCTAGAGCAGCGGTCTCCAAAGCAGGGGGCACATTAAAAACACTTTAAAAATAAAATAAAACATTGTTTATTTCATCTTTATCTCATCCCTTTTTAATTGCTATTTTTTGTGTATGTTTTATAATGGAAATAATATTACAGCAGCAGACATCTCTAGTTTATAAGTGAACATATATTGTGGGGTATGCCCAGAAATTTTTTACTGATGGGGTTGTGCAATCAAAATAGTCTGAGGAGCACTGATCTAGAGCTGTGAGAAGTAGTGCAGGGTGCCTGTCTGGCCATCAGACTTTCAGCTTTTCTGACCACAACTGCAGAACACCTCAGGCACATGCAAACGAGCCAGAGCAGCAGTGACAAGGAAAGGAGCAGTACAAGGGAGACTGAGGTGAGGTTGCACTGCTAGATTAATAAAAAAATAAAGTTTACTGCCCACCCAATGCCTGCCACCCAGCGCCTGCCACACGGCTTAGCAGGCAGAAACACCCTCAGCTCCCAGCGCCCTCATGCCGGTAAAACAAGAGGAAAATGTCTGCTTACATAGACTTGGTGTCTTTCGTAAAAAAAACACATTCTCTCTTCTTAAAGTTTTCTTGGATGAAGTTGACCAAATCCTGAAAAACAGTTAAGAAAGAAAAGTTTACATCTGCTAGCTCATAAACCAGAAACAGCCTCAGTTACAGCATTGTCAGTTTAAATATCAAGAAAACTGGTGCAAATTCCTAAGTGTTCTTTCACCGGGTAGATAGTGGGAGACAACTAGAAAGCACTGACCAGAGTTAACAGGACACAAAAAACTACTAAAAATCACAAATAGGCATTCCAAAAACCAGGTGATACCAGGATTTTTTAGTATATGTTCTGCTTGATAGATACAGAGGAAAAAGATATGGCTTTCCCCTCAAAAAGAAAAAAAATTAATAGCAAACCAGATCTGATACCCTAAAAGCTGCTGGAAATCCTTTCTTAATTTCAGCTTTCAACCCAGAAGATCCACACAGAAAATATCTTACTTGAAGTCAGAGGCACGATACAGGTAGCTGTAGGCTACAGAGCATTTCCATTTGCCTGTGCTGCCGTGTTTCCAAATAACTTACAGGACTGACAATATTTTTCCAGCAGAGGTTAAGTGGTTTAGATACTGCTTAAAAGACTCTGGCAAACATGGTTTCTTCCCAAGAAAATTAATATAAATTAAAAAAACTCCACAAAACAAACGAAACATTAAGGTCCTTTTGGATAGGGGCTATTTAAATTCAACACAGAAATATCCCAGCAGGAGACCTGGAAAATTTAGTCATGCTTTATGTGGAATACAAAGTCACTTCAGCTTGTTTAATCATTAATCTCACATAAACCTTGGAACTCCACAAGTGCAGTGAAACTTTCAAACCTGGGAAAGCAAATTCATTCCTAATATGCCTCTGCAAATGTAAATTAAAAATAAATAAATAAAAATCTCACTTGCTGATAAAGGTTTGGAAGTGTTGGGTGGTTTTAAGCACAGCTTGGATTTGCAAGCAAAGATTTAGCATGGGATGAAAAGAGAAGACATACAGTACTTATACAAAGTTATTCCAGGCAGAAAAGCATAAAAATATAACATCTAAAACAAAGAAAATGGAAGAGAAGTTTATTAGCTAGTAAATTAGCACAACTATGTAAGAGTAAAAAAAATAAAATAAAATAAAGGGAAGGGGAACCACTTGCTAAAGACCTAAGAGCAAGTCATTAGGCCTCTTGCAAGCCCAACGGAAGCAAGAAATCTGCCAGACAACCACTGTGATCAGCAAATCATGGAGGCTTGAAAGGGATGTTTAACATAATTACACATTTTCTGCCTTTGCCATCAAGTTTCTTGAAGAAATTGGGGTGGTTCTTTACAGAGACAGAGGATTTGTCTCTAATGAAATACGAAAAAGGCTTTAAAAACAGGAGCAACTAAAAACACGCAACGAAGAGATACAGAGATCAAAAGGAATTTGATGCATCCTTTGATTTTCACCACGTCGACAAAGCACTGCCACTGCTTGAGGGGTCACTGGCTAGGAAAACTTCTCTGTAAAGGAAAAACTGACAAATCAACCATCCTTCTCCCAACGTGACCTAATTCCCAATCCCTGTGGCCCACTCCCAAGACAGCACCCAAGCTTATCGGTGATGTACCAGATACTCACAGCATCACTGCAGGACACGTCTATGCTGCGAGACATGCTGGAATAGAGGAGCCTGGTACTCTCAAAATTGCCATTTCTTCGGTGTCGCATGGTGCCCATGGAAACCTGACAGAGCATGGCAGAGGGGGAGATGAACAAGCAATGGTCATTTCTTTCACTAGATAAAAAACAGTGAGGACACTCAATACTCTAGGAAGGCAAGGAAGAGGTTAGTTTAATCAAGCATAAAGAATTAGGAAGCATATCGATTCCTAAAATGTGAAACTAACATCAAGAAAAAAATCTCTTATTTCATACCAAAAAGAGATTTTCCTCTTTCCTTCCTCACTCGAAAAGAACTCCAAGCCAACATACTTTGAGAAAGGAACACGTATGCCATCCTACTGAATTCATCACCCTATCTTAACTGTTTCCCTTGCCATCTCTGATGGGTAGGCTCAGGACTTTGAGCTGTTCAGCAGTTCTATACAATGAACAGTCCCTAACCCAGTGTATTTACAAGTTAAAGGGGATATTAAGAAGGAACATTTCAATCACAGAGGAAAAACTGCAGCAGAACAAGAAGTCGGTCTGACAGTACACAAGAAGCTCAGAGGAGATGCAGCACCTGAACGCTGACCCCTCGGGTCTCTGCCCACTCCTGTAACAAGGGCAGTCAATAGGTGTGATGTGAAGGGTAAGTGGATTTAAAGTCAAAAAGTCACCCTTGGAAGCAAACACACATCAGTTGCCCTCTGGAGCAGATGCCTGTACTGAACTTGCTGTCTTCGAAGGACGATCACTTCATTTGCACCAAATCACAGAATAAAATTTGTTTTATGCTAACAGCAAATGCTTCAGTTCCCTTTATGTTACTTTGCAAAATAATAGCAGAAAAGGTCATGTTACTTTGCAAAATAATAGCAGAAAAGGTCTTTTCTGGAAAAAAAAAAAAGCTGGCAGATAGCTAAAGCAGCGAGCTCAAATTCTACTTCTCCATCCAACATTGTTTTTTCTCCTGCCTTTCCCCTCTCTGTGTACACTGGGTTGATTCTGCCACTGTATGGCAAAAAGCATCCCTCCCAGACACAGAAACATGCATTCCCCAGCTCTGATGAAGCATTCCGGTGTAAATATATGATTTCTGAGATCCAAAAACTACCAAGTGTGAAACAATTTACTTGGGGCACTTGACAAAGCGGGAATGGCACAGGCAGCAGGAAGCTGTACTTGGAAATAGAACGATGGAGCGTGATGTGGGCAGCTCCCAAAGCAGGACAGAAAAGCTTCCACAAAAACATGTATATTTCTACTTCACAGTTATTTTAAAAATACTTTGAATACCATTTCATGTTGAGGGGAAGCATGACTGACTCAGTGTCGTTTGCTGTGTATGGCAGAAGTCCACAGCTACCTCCTCCAAATTCTTCAGCATGCCTGAGATCTCAGTCACTCTTTCTATCACTGTCAAGTGATGGAAGAGCACAAAAAAGCCCTCTTCCTAGGTTAACAGTTAGACTTCATGATCTTAAAGGACTTCTCTACCCTAAATTATTGTATGATCATATTGTAACATGAGTAATTGGCACAGTGCAGTTGTCTCCAACTTTTAAAGTTAAGTCTCCTTTATTTCTGCTCTGATTTACACTTGTATGAGTCGGATGCCTAAGAAAGTATCTGCACTTAATTCAGACACAGGTTTTAATCTGACCACTTTCAGCCAGCACCTATGGAAACCCGGTGTTCAGGAAAAGCTTGGAAGAACAAGTAAGTGTTAGAAGGGAACAGCAATGCTGTCTCTCAAAGAACGGCCAAGAGCACAGCGTTTCAAACAGAGCTGCCATTATTGTTCCATAGACAGAAGAACCTATTCCAAAGGCATGGCTCCCTGCAGAAAAAAGAAGAAAGGAGGGCTATATAATCTCTGCGAAACATAAAACCAGTACAAACAGTTACAATCTTAACTCAGACCTCCCAAGACAAAACTGAGCCAGCTTGCGGGCCACGTAATACTGTGACTCAGGCACAAACTTGAAAATCTGGCACGTGGTCTGACCATTCGGTTATATTTCACGAGGACTCCACAAGCACCTGAGCTTCTAAGCATCATACCACCTTGTACAGACCTCCACCATGGCTCTCTGGGATTCTCACTCCAGAGGAGTAACAACAAGAACCCTTTCCTTTGAAACCCAATGATGTATAACCTCTTCAGATCTCTTCCTCTCCCATCACGATCTCTCCCTGAAATATCAACTTTGAAATACTGATCCAAAAGTGACTTCTTAAAACATGTGCCATTGAGAACTACAGTTGTGCTGGCCTAAGCCTTCCACATGTGAATTCTTTCCAGCTGCAGATAAATGTCAGGCTACACACACTTGCGCAAGGTTTCAAACAGCAGATCTGACTCAGACCAATTTATTTCCTCTCTCAGCACGGCCAAAAGGCGTTACACTGTTTTTCAAGTAGAGGCTACAGAAGAAAATAGACCATGCTCCTGCTTTGAAGTTCATAATCTCCTTTGAGTTAATTATTCCAGCAGTTCCCATCATCAAAGCAAGGACAGGAGTCTGGCCAGCTTTGCGAAGGATTCAGGGAAAGACTTCGAAGCACACTTACTGAAATAGCTCGTAACAACAAACACTAGAATAAACTGACCTCCGAAGAGGCCACCAGCCCTGCTTCAGACCTTCAGAAGAGAAGTTGCCTTTATTTGTCCAGGAGCTGCGAGGGTCTGTGGAAGAAGAGAGCATCTGTTTCTTTAACAGTATCTCCTCAAGGGCCTTTTCAAGGCAAAAAGGGATTAGAAAAGGAGGAAGCAATCAACAAGAATGGGCAGAGAGGAAACTCAGACTGCCAGACAAATAAGAGGGTGATGAAACCCAAACCTGGTCAAGCACACTAACTGATAAGGCTATGTGGTATCTGGGAACGTTTATTCTAGCGAGGTTATTTGATGGGGTGGGCTTGTCAAACAGGATACTAAGGAAAAGAGTGAAGCTGTACACCAAATATACAAGCAAGCTCACGGAGACAAAGACAAGAAAAAGCATCTTGTCAGTAACTGATGGGTGAACAAGAAACTTCATGCATCCTGGGGCTCTGCAGCTGATGAGGTTGCAAATGTGAGGTTCAAGGACACTGGAGGGGGATGGTGGAACCCAAAAGACTGGTGGTTCTCACATTGCATTTCCAGCCAGGGCAAGCAAGCTACGTGGCAACAGCTGACCTCGGTGTTGGGGTTATGACAGGTCTCACTCAGCACCCCAAAGATTTCTGTATCCCTCCTTCCCTCCCCAGGCAGGACGCGAGCTTTGTACATTTTACCTAGGGCAAGGAGGGTTTCCAGGCAGGAGCGAGAAGCAGAGAAGCAAATCCAAGTTCTAGCAGCTCCTCTTCTCCAAAGACACGCTGCCAGAGGAATCTACGTTGCTACAGTCACAAAGCAATCATCCTGCCTTTGTACAGTGCGAACTCTGGTAACAACCATGACAACGGCTGAAGGAGTACTGTCCTTAAAAACATCAGATTGTTTGAAACAAAGCAGAGCTACACGTATCCCCACTTATATAACTAAGACTGGCAACCGTGCATCCGGAGACATATTTCCTAATAACCCACAAAGCAAGTTTTATCATTTCACATGATTGATATTTGGTGTAAAGATGGTTTTAAAGCTGTAATTCAAGATAAAAGTTCCATGGGGGAAATACGTTTTGGTCTTTATTGACAGTTTTATTTTACTTGGTGATTTGTTCAATAAGTTAACACCAGAAAAGTGACTACGGACATAACTGTGCAGAGAGAATATTAAAAGTAAACAAGGGCATTAAATTATTCATTCAAAACACTAAAGGATTTCAGTTTACCTCACTGCTTTTGTAAATAATTGATAATAATGAACGTGCCGCAAACAAACTGAAAAAAGTTAGCAAGAATACAAAGGAACCTTGAAAACCTAGGACTTATTTTTCAAATTTAAGTTCTGAAGAGCTGCATTGATACCACAGTGTTTAGCGGATATTTGTGAGCAAAGCTCGTGATCTCCACAAGCCTTAGAAATAACACAGCGATCGTACACACTTTAAAAGACGTGACACAGCTGCAGTCTACTTAACAGGCAAACACAGTTCATTTTCTATCACATTTCCAGCCCATTAAATACATAAGGAAGATATTTTTAAAGCACAGACTAGTGCATTAAAGCGTAACTTTCTTAAACTAACACATTTTGAGAGTAATAACCATTAACACTAGAATAATCCTCTATAGTATGAGACTAATACTATGACTTCCACAGCACTTGAGGGAACACATTCCAAGGAAATGTTCAGTTTGGAGGTGATTAAAAAAGATGTGACAAAAAAAAAAACCCTAGTTCTAAAGAGACTTTAATAAATAGGCTTTTAAAAACTTGTCTGCAACTGAAAAAGCAAGACCAGCTTCCATTTTCAGAAAGCCCTCAGATAAATCTAACAAGTATTTGCATTAGCATAATTCTAGCAACTGGCTTTATGTGAAAGCTCTCAAAAGGAAAAGGATGTCGCCAAACTTCAGATGCACAGCTACCTCCATTTCAGCATATTTCAAGTATATACTTGAAATATGTATATAATATATACAAGTATATACTTGTATATATAGTATATACAGAAAAATCAACGTCTAATCACATACCACCGTGGAGCACTTACCAAAGTCTCCAGAACATGCCCCAGCAATCCTACTGAAATCATTACTCAAAGAGGAAGGTTTTGATATACTTCGGCTTGCAAAGCCCCTCCTTTTTTATCCGTGTCATGCTTTCCTTTTAAGGGAGGGCACAGAGGAAGAGGTAATGCACAGGAGCGAGCAGCAGCATTACTCACCAGTTAATAACGAAGGCGGGCATAATTGCAGCAGCATGCAGGAAATGACAGTTGCAGGTTATTTGTAAGAGAAAAGCAAAGTTTCTATCCCACCTGCTGCCAATGGACTGCAAAAACTAGTAACAATATTGCAGCTACTTTATGCAATCAAATGCACCATTAAAAAGCTGTAAGTATACAAAAACCACTTGTGGGAATAAATAACAGGATTTTAATATATCAGAAGATAACCAAACAGTT